ATTTCAGTAAATACATATTTCAATGGAAAATTTCCAGTCGAAGAGCAAATAAGTGAAGATGGTTTAAAAAGAGGAGGAAAGCTCTCGGCTTGCATGTCCCTGCCCAGGCCTGTACCCCAGTCTCTGCGTCCTTGTGGTAGTTGGGTTTTTTCTTCCTCATCCTCCCAGTTCCAACTGGAGACTGTAATTTTCTTTCCAGCAGGAAACTGATATATACTAATGATGACAGCTGGATTCAGAAGGAGAAAAAGAATACAGGGGACAGAGAGTCCTTGTGGGTTTAAATCACTTTAAAACTCAAAACAAAACCCCCAGATTTGGAATTTTTAAAACCTAGTTAATGGCTGAGGAAACCTCAAATGATTGGGAAGTACTAAGATAAAAGTTTGAATTACACAAAACACATCATTACTTTAAGCTTTCCTAATCATCTTCTCTGCGTTTCCCCTTTGCTGTTCACATTGTTTATGCCCCCCATCCTTCAATGTGGTTCTGAGACATTTTAGAGGTAGGAAGGGCCTTCCAATTTCACTTACTGAATAAAAAGTATTTGAAAGGAGATGGGTGGATCCTTCTCCATTCAAAAAAGTTTTCCTGAAATTTTGATATTTACTTCCTTTCTTTTGAAATAACGAATTTGATACATTTATTGTTGAAAGTCATGTACATACAAACATATGAATAAAACAGAGTTATGTTGTGTAAAATGGAAAATAAGAGGGAGAAACCCTCCTACAATGGTACCAGTCTAATACAACCATTTTTAGCATTATGCAGCCTTCAACTTCAGTCTGGTCCTCCACTCCTACCCAACCCCTAAACCTCCAGTACTGATTATCACAATGCCTGGACAAATCTCTTTGACATTCTAGGAATGAATTTTCTATTTTTCAGTGACAATAGGGACTTAGCTTCATAAGGGTCTTAATAATCCTATGAGGATATGGGCACAGAAAGAAATGTCACCTTGTCTTAAAACCCACGTGACTCCATTCTCGGTCTTCTATCCTCCAGTCATTTCCTTGTCTGCAGGGTCAAGTCCAAGCACCTTAGACTTTGGCCTATGAGGCCTTCCTGGATTGAGTCCCTGCCTTCCCAGCCTCACTTCTAGTCACAACTGACTGGCCTTGAATCCAACACTCCAGTCACACTGTCCTGGCTTTTGAAGGCTGTGCTGACTTGTGCCTCTGTGACTTTGGTTCTGACTACAGTATACCTCTCCACATTACCCATCTGGTAATCTCTACTCACCCTCAAAACTCTGCTCAACCATCTCCTCCTATAAGAAATACTTCCTGCCCTCACAACAGACATAGCCTTTCACTCTTCAGTGCCTCAAATGTATCCCATACATGCTTCCTTTATAGTATCTGTAATTCCTTACTGCACCTACTTATCAGCCAGGACATTATGCATGTGTATCTCTAAATGTAGGTGCTCAACACATCTGATGCTAGCATGCCATGTCTGATGAATGAAAAAATAAATAAGCAATGACAAAAAGTATCCTTCTCTGGATCTGTCAGAGGGGCAGAAGCATCTCCAGTCAAGTGGATTCCAAAGTGGATTACTGACATTCTATGCCAGGTATGCATGCTACGCTTCATTGTTTTCCTAGGAAAACAGGCATTTCTTCCTTTCTAAAGATGTTTAAGAATATGAGAATTGTGAGCGTGAGAGGTAGGGCATAACTTGCCAGGCTATAGGAGACTAGATCAGATGCTTCCAGCTAATGATAATGATAATGATTTAATAATAATATTAATGGAGCTTCTCAACTATAGTGTTGGAATACAAGGCCTCTTGAAAAAGACTGACCCTGTGTTTTCCTGAGAAGGTGAAATAGTTCTGGTTGAATCAGTAGCAAGGCTACTTTGAAACCTGAGGACTGTCCAGAGTTGAAAAGCTTGTGCCCATTCTGCATAATCAAGGATTATTACTAAACTTTGGTAAAATTAAAAAAATATATATTAATGGTATTCAGTATTTATTGAGCACTTATTCTATGCCATGTAAAACACATTCTTCACATGAGACTTTCCATGTTATCAGGTGACAACCACTTTTAGATGTAGATCCTATTATTATCCCCATTTATAATAGAGAAAAAGTGTCTCACAGGAGGTTAAAATGACTAGCTTAAGGCCACAAAGGTAGTAAACAGCAGACCTAAGATTCAAGCCTTCGGATCTGGCTTCAGGGCCTGTGGTACAGCTCCTACTCAGCTTTCTGACCTAATAATGGAGGTAGATATGGATGTGTATTTATAATCATATACACATGATATAAACACCTGATTTGATTCTCAGAAAATGAATTTACATCTGATTGATGCATGAGTTTAAATAATACTTTTATCCAGATGACAACTATTACTACTATGAAAACTGAGGAAAACTCTGTATTACAGTCAGTTAATAACAAAACCATTTAATGAAGGCCTGCTATGTGCTTAGCTGGGGGACAAAGAATCTAAGATATGGTACATTCTTTCAAGGTACTTCCAAGGTAAAACTATAACGTCACGAGATTACTTTGAAATATTGGAACCCACACATATTGAAATCTACATATCCAAATAAGTTATCACCTTGTTTGGTGATATACTTAGCTATTGCTCAAACTGCCTTTGGAAACAATTTATGAAACACATCTGAAACATTTCATTCCTTTAAAGCTCACAGTTTATTTTTATTCTTAACAGTGCTATCCAACTTAATTGCCATTTTATTTGACATCTGGTTAGTTCTGAAAATCTAGAGGAAAAAATTGTTACCACAGTTTGTGTGGATGTATTATACAAATACATACCTTCATATAGGTAGACATAGATACATACGCACATATTATATCATTTGATTTATGAGGGCAATTCTCAAGGACTGTGCAAAATCAGTACCTCCCCAATAGGAACATAATATGAGCCATATATGCAATTTTTTATTTTCTGGCAGCTACATTTAATTTTCATTTTTCTTTGTCCACTTTAATTAAAGTTATTATGTAAATATTTAATCAAATATATAAAAATATTATCATTCTAGCATGTCATTATAAAACTTAATGAGAAATTTTACATTTTTGTTTTCATACTAAGTCTTTGAAATTTGTGTATTTTGTTATTACAGAACATCTCAGGTTGGATCAGCTACTTCTCAAGTGCTCAAGAGCGACATGAGGCTACGGACTGCCGCATTAGACAGTGCAAGATAAAACACTTAGAGCTATAACCATCATATTAAAAGAGGAATAAAAGTGCCCATCTCCTTTATATCTTACTTGGCAAAGTAATGACTTAAAGAGGAATAATTCATCAATGCAAGTGAAGTACTGTTGAGTAATACCTGACAACCATAATCACATTTAATTGGGGTATAAACTCTAAATAATCTAAGAGTTTGGAAGAAAAGATGATTCAAAAACTCCAAAGTCACCTTCACAGAGGAACCCAACTCATCAGTAAAGGACAGGCAGCTGGAGAAGACAGAAGGGTATTTTATAACATCCAAGGGCTAACCTTTCCAGAAAAGGAATAGTGGTACTAACATGCCAAAAAAATATGCAGTTCAAATGAACTGATGATTATAGTCAAGCACACAACTCCAACAGGATCCCAAAGAGTGGACTTCCAAGTAGCGAGGAACTCCTTCATGGCCAAGGCCCTTTACAGGCTAAGCAGAGAAGCACTATGTAGCTAGGCGGCATTTGGAACTGAAATAAAGTGGTGGAAACCCAAAACAGCTTCCTGGTAACATCTGATTTATAATCTCTGGACCCCCGTTAGCTCAAGTTTAAAATAAAGTGGACGCAGCCCTGAAATCCCTTATGGGGTGACCTATAATTTATTGTGTAAACCTGGATACTTTCAAAAGTAAAAGGGGACACTATTAGTAATTATGCTGGGACAAGAGGCATAAACTAGGGCTGCTTTATAGCTATAAAACTATATGATCCTATTCTACTAAGCGGATACAACTGCTACCTCTGTGCAGGGATGTGGAGTGGAGGAAAGTGTAAGCATATTCTCAGTACCTCCTCATGGCCACAGGGGCTTTGTGGGCTAATACACATAGATCTGGGTGAGGCGATTTCACACCTCCCCCTCAAAGCATTTTAAATTGGTTTGAATTTGGAAACAGGGTTCCATATGGATAGAGCTGGACTCTGACAGCCTGAATATATTTACTGAAGACAACAAATCATTGACAGACTAAATGTAACAGAGGAAAGGCCTGGCCTGCATGTACTCAGAATCTGACTTTGTAATTGTAGCCTCTTTTAGACAGGCCTAATCAATTAGAAGGGGCTGATTTTAACCAGTTGCAGGCTCATTACCCTGCATTCCAGTTTGTGTTGATGAAAATCAGTTTCAGTATGTGGCCTGGAACTCATGTACAGCACTTCCTGCGGCCTCTTATGTAAACACATCAAAAAATTTTTTTATTTGGAGTTGCCCTTCTCCCTTTTAAGAAAACCACTTTGTGAATAGTGATTAAAATAGAACACTTGTATGTGGACCTGGAGCCCATACCGGGAAATATATATGGACACATATAAAGGAATGCATATAAAGTCAGAGCCTAAGGTAGGAAGGGATGGATTTCAGACAGTCAAAACAGGCTCCAGTGTCAGATGGGTCCCACTCAGTTATCTACACAGAATGGAACAGAATGAACTCTGAGTTATTGATGATTGTTCAAAGAAAATAAATGAAACAGGAAAGAGCCAAAGTCTTAGAAATACAGAGGCTATCTGAGTAGAGTCCACAGCCTTCCCTGAATGACCAAATATAAAGTAAATAGCAAACTTCCAACTAAACAGGACAAGTTTCCTTGAGAAGCTTCTATGAGGGAACAATATGGCAGTCTGTTTAATGTTGATGTGTGGTTAGACTTATGAAAGTAGAAGCTAGGGGAGTGTGTGGTAGAGCCACTCAAAGCCCCACCTATATTTCAAAGACCTGTAATCATTCCAAAATATGATATAACTATGAGTCATACCTGGCTGGCTGCCTTTTGCAGCTTTGTCAAGGCAGCGAGTCAACAGGAAGAGAACATCAATATACACAGCTCTGGTCACCAAACATGGATTTTGCCTAGAAAGGTAAAGAACAGAATATCAATTGGCATTTTCTTTCTCTGAGGCCTGGGTCACAGAAAGGAGATAATGGAAATTTCTACCAGGCACATTATGAGGCTTAGGGAGTTACAGCAAATGCCAAAAAAGAGAGAGTCACCAATGACAAGAACATACCAGTAAGGCAAGTGAGAAAGTGAAATGCCTGAGAGCCTACGGCGGAGGCAGAGTCTATGTGTCTACAAAGCAGATAAAATTCTATGCTACAGCTCTAAGTAAAATAAACTGAAAACAAAAACAAAAAAAATCAATATGCTATCCCAGTGATTTGAAAACAAGGAGATGGGGGTGAGGGGACTATATTCTTTCATTTTCCTTTTAAGTGGACAAATTTAGGGGAAAGATAATCAGTCATGAGTATCACTGATGTAGCATTTTAGAGGAGAATTGTATTCCCACGTGATAAACCACATCTATGGGCTTAAAATAACCAGCTGAAAACCAAACACGGAAGCAGTAACACAGGCCGGCACAGACATTCCTCTCCCAGTAAATGGAATTTTTTCTTCTTTCAATAAATGGGGCAGTTCATTTTACTCTTTGAACCAACACTGGAAAAAGTAAGTGGGCTCAGGGTTAGGGGGCTAGATAAAAAAGGAAGAATGAAGACTTTCTTTTGAGAACAGCACTGAAGGGCCCTAGCTCTTGAGCTTGAGTTTGTACTGACCATGAAAAAGGCCCAAACCTCCCTAGTGTGTTATAATTCAGCACAAGCTGTAAAAATCGCAGGGACAGATGTGGGTTTGAATACTGGCTTTGCCATCTACTTATTATCTGTGTGACCTGAATCAGATTCCTGACCTCTCCAGTGGGAACCTCAATCACCTCACTGTGAGTCACTGTAAGCATCTGATGAGGCAGAGCAAACCAGAATGCCACCTCGGTGCCTGGCAGGGCTAGATGCTCCCTAAGTGTTCGTTCCTTGCCTTCTCTGCCTCCAACATAAGAGCAAGGAGTGTCCTAAGTATTCTGACTAGTGGATTTCCACTTACTTGATCCCCAAATCCATTCTTCTCATTGCCTATAAATGAACAGTTTTACTATTTCCCTAAAGTTTATTCTCACTCTTTCCTGAACTGTCCATATTCTAGGGCTGGCATATGCTGTAGCATGCAAAGCAAATCAGATACTCTTGATTTAAAACAAAACTCTCTTGTTTCAAGGTCTCTCTGTTGCTGACCCACCTCATTTCTGTCCCACTGACTTGCTTCACCTACAGTATCTGCTTGCTGCCTGACTCCTACCCTGTGATAACTCTTTGTTTATATGTATATTTGTTTATACGTATACCTCATGTTTGGTCTAATTTCATACCTGCACCTATTTCTTTAAAACGTTTTACAAAATAGGTAACACCATGCACATGATATAAAAATAATTCAAAGAGTACAAAAGGGTAGGCAGTTAAAACTAAGTTCCTTTTCTAAGCCTCCCACCTCTACGCATATTGCTTGCCTGAGCAACCACTAATAATTTTTAGGATATCCTCCCAGACACATTCTATTCATTTACAAGCATCTATCTATAGCTACCCACTTGTTTGTCTTTACATAAATAGTGGGTTACTATATACTAAGTTCTGAGCATTACTTTCTTTCACTAATATATTTTGGATATCATTTTTTTAAAAACATAGAAATTGCCTCATTTTTAAATTGCGTTGTAAACTGCTCCATTTCATGGATGCATCAAATTCTTATTGAAATAATTTAGATTGTTTAGTATAACAATTTAGATTATTATATAACAATTTAGTAGGTGTTCAGCAAAGTTGCTGAAAACAATGCTGAAATTATATTTATTTATATATTATATACATACCAAATATATATAACATGTATATAAATACATATATAATTATTTTTGTATGTTCCTCAGTTTTGTGCATATGAATGCACACTCAGAAGAGAAATTCCTAGAAGTTAAATTACTGGATCAAGATATTTGTACACTTAAATTTTTGACTGATTTTGATAAGACACTCTACAGACTACCAATTTACACTCTCACCTGGAGTGTGTAAGAATTCCAACTCCTGACACTTGTCGGCTCTTCCAGGGCCTGGGAGCCAATGGAAGGTGTTCCTGTTCAGGCCAGAGAGGCAGGAGGGAGCCCATCGGAGGCACCTCCCCAGGCACTGCTGCCCTTGCTGACTACCCAACCCTCTGGCTGCCCATGTCATGAGTGACACCACAGTGCCAATGCCCCCAGGCCAACAGTGACTCCACGGTGGGCTATGTGTTGGGGCTTTTCTTCGTTATCACCCTAGTTAGGGTGGTAGTGGCTGTGGTAATGTGTGCTCAGAAGAAAAAGCAGGTTGACTGGCTTCACCATCACTTGTTCCCCATGTACAGCTGCAACCATGCTGAGGAGCTACATGAGGCTGAGCAGAGCTATTCCCTGATGAAGAAGACCCCAGGGTGGCACATGGCTGGCAGAATAGCTACCAGCACAAGCAGATGGCTTTGCTGGATGCCAAGACATGATCTGACCCCTTGCCCTCATCTTCAGAGCCACGGGGTCCTGGGATGTCCAGGGCCCTGTGGCTTGCTCTTTCCCCCTCCTTCTTGCACTCATGCAGCTCCCCTCTGCTGGGTACTGGGTTTCCTTTCTTCCTCCCATCCACCCCCAGAAGCTCCCATTTTCTAAGTCCCTATATAGCAGCAAGCCCCCAGCATCACCTCCCCACTAGGCCTTCATCCTCTGTGGGCTGAGCCTACCCACTCCCAGACGCTAATGGGTTTTTCCTTTTGGGGTGGAAGGGTGGCTGGGAGATAGAGCTTTGCCCTTTCTGCAGGCACTACCTTTCTCCTAGCCCCTCCTGACTTGGCTTTAGAGTTGTTTCCACGGTGACAGGCCCGATGTATATATAGCATTTAGTGTACACACACACACACACACACACACACACACACACACACACACATCTTGTAAATAAAATGTTTTGTGGTTAAAAAATAATTCCAGTTTCCTCATAACCTGGCCAGCACAGTGTACTACTAAACCTCTTAACCCTTGCCAAGATAACAAGTGAAAAATATTTCATTGTTTTAAACTGTAATTATTTTACATATGTGAGGTTGACCATCACTTCACATGCTTTTCAAAAAAGATAAATGAATCTCCTTTTCTGTGAACTGTATTCAAATCCCCTATCCATTACATTGTTAGTCTTTTCCTTATTGATTTGTAGGAGCTCTTTGTATATTGAGGAAATCTGCTCTTTGTCTCATGTGTTTCAAGTATATTTTTGCAGTTTACATTTTTCTTTTAACTCCTTTTTTTTTTGCAATTTAAAAATGTTTAGTTTTATGCTGTCAAATATATTAATATTTTTATTTCTGTCTCCTGGGTTTTCTGTCTCCTAGTTACAAAGTCTAACCCTTCTCTGGGATTTTTCCTATGTTTTCTTCTAGTGATTCACAGTTCCATTTTTTTGTTGTAGTTGTTTAAACTTTTTACCTGTTTGGATTTTTTCCTCCCAATCCTTCTCCTATCTTTTGTCTCCAACCAGTTTTCCCCAGGTCTCGCAATCATAACTTCCTGTCCTTACTCTTTTACCCACTATGAAAAGCCCACAGTTTATGAAAATGTATTTAATATTATTTGTAATTTTAGCCCTTCTGTTGTTTAGCAGGTAGGACTCCCCAACCCCCACCAACAAGGAAAGGAAAAACCCATTAGCGTCTGGGAATGGGTAGGCTCAGCCCACAGAGGATGAAGGCCTAGTGGGGAGGTGATGCTGGGGGCTTGCTGTCTTGTCAAGACAGAAAGCAAAAAAAACCAATGCAGGGGTTAACAAATCATCAGATATCCACCACAGGGTTGAGTAAATGGCCTGCAGATAGCAAATGACGTGCTTCCTGAGCATCCAGCTAGGTTCTGGGAGGAGACACATTTGAGAAGATTTTTCATCTCACAGAATTTTGTCTATAGTTATGGAGACAAAAATAACGACAAACTTTGGGACAGGATATAAGGAGTTAGGAGAAAGAACATATTCAGGTGGACTGGAGAAATGGAAAAGGTTTATAAAGAGGTAATTCCAACTGGGCTGTGAAACAAAATTTAGGTAGACAAAGTTGATAAAGAAGGGTATTTTGAGAAGGAGCACTAGATGTGGGAAGGAATTAGTCTGGCTCGTCCAGGGACCTGGGGAGACCAGCTTGGGAAGATTAGAGAACGTGCTGAGCAGGTAGGAACAAGAGCGAGGCAAGCCAGGCTTTCAGGAGATGGAATGCATGGTGCAAACTGGTACTTCTTGGTGTGACAATGCACTGTCTACTCCCACATGGCCTCATAGAGGCATTGCACGCACCCTGAACGTTTTTCTGTCAGTGGAACCATATAGAACTACAAAGGGAAGTTTTTGGGAAACTGGTTTGACTTTCAGGTTTGATGGGGAGCCTAGTTTCCATAAGTTAATATATATTTTTTAATTTCTAAATGAATAGAGGAAAGGCTGGCAATCCTTAGAGCCTTGCCAGGCTGAAGTGTTCTGTATTTTCTCTTATCTAGCATAGGCTAGCAACCTTGCTGGCCTCCTAGGACACTTCAGGGACCTCTCTGACTTTTCCCATAAATATGAGGCTCTGGGCCAAGTCTGATGTAGTCAACAAGCTAATGGAAGGCTCCCTCAAATGCTGCAGCTTCTGATTCCAGGAAACAGAGAGGATCTGGGGCCACAAAGGAGTCCATCTACGGCTTTTCCTTCGAGACTCACTCAGAGAGAAATGTCTGGCCTGGAGCCCACTGTTCATGGCTCCACCCTTGAGGACAGCCACAGCCACATAACATCCCCGTCTGGAGTCAGAGTTGGGCTTCACTCCGAACTGGCTTCTAAGTCAGGAAAATATTTTTTTTCTCTTTCTTTTTCCTCTCACTATTACTTGGTGTTTGTTCTGACTTGGAAATGGTACACTGTGAGTTCAGGGTGAGCCAGAGGTTTGTTCTCAGTCT